TCTCCTTTCACTTCTCTTTTCCCCTTCCTTTCACTTTCTCTTTCTCTCTCGTTCTCTACTTCTCTCATGCAGTGATTCAAATGAAAGGAACGATAAGTTTTCTATTTAACATCTACAGGCGATGCATTTGTTTCAAACGAAGGTGTTGTTGTTATATATATATATATATGCATACCTCAACTTCCATGTGCTTAAACCGCTCGATCTCGTGACTTCTTTTTCAAACTTGTGCAAGCTGAAGCCATATCAGAACCAATTTGTCATCTTTACTTCCCTCAAGTTAGCTAATACAGTACACTGCTCATCTCAAATCCCGAGGATGTATAATTTAGCGATGATGATCAGAGCCCAATGGGTTGAGTATTACATGTACATAAATCAATTCCAGTAATTTCAAAGTAACTTCACCTCACTCGCAGCTCTCTCAGGGTTGTATTGGTTGAGTATTATCCTGAAAATTCACCACCTTACCTCGCAATTATAACACTCAATGGACATAACTATCTCGAGTAAGCTAAATCCAAAAAATTGGTGATCGCTAGGAGAGACAAAATTGAGTATTTAACTAGAAAAAATTTGAAACCTATTACTGGCAACCCCAAATTGAAAAAATAGCGGTCAGAAAACTCTTTGGTTATGACTTGATTCATTAACTCCATGAAACATGTCATAGGGAAGTCGCATCTTTTCCTTCCCACTGCTCGAGATATTTGGGAGGCCGTTTGAGATCTTTATTCAAAACTAAAAAATTCTTCCCAATTTTTTTAGTTGATTACTCAAATTTGAAAACCTAAGCAAAATTATTTTGATGTTGCTAGGTATCATAATTAGTTTGCAACATTGTGGCAGAACCTGAATCAATGTTATGATGAAATTTGGGGGAATTTTAATGAATATTCTCATCATAAGAAGAGAGAAGAAAAAAACTCGGTCTACATAATTTTAACAGGCCTTAATCTGAGTTTAGAAGAAGTCTGAGGTTGTACCCTAGGTAGTAAACCTCCACCATCTATTAGAGAAATTTTTTCTAAAGTTAGATATGAAGAGTCAAAAAGAAAAATTATGATGTGCGACACCGAACCTCCTAATAGCATTGAACATGAGAAGCAGGCTCATGTGTCAAAAGAGATTGATACCAATAAAGAAGGGTGTAAAAAATCATTGTGCGAGCATTGCAAAAACCATGACACACAAAGGAAACATGTTAGAAGTTTCATAGTAAACCTACGAATTGAAAATCAAAATCCAAAGGTAAAGTTCCACTACTGAGGTAACTCAGGAGTCTTCTACAAACTCGGGTGTAGTTCCTTTCACTAAGGAGTAATTAGAGCACTTAGAAAAATTATTTCAAAATACAAAATTGTCCTTGACTTTGTCTTTCTCTTTAGTATAGAAGGGTAACTCTGTAGCCACTGCATTATTAAGTGTTACTCCTAATTTTGTTCATTTATGCATAATTGATTTGGGTGCAACTAATCATATGACTAGTTATTCTAAATTACTTTCCTCATGTAGATCATGTGTAGGCAATAAAAAGGTAAAAAAAATTTATGGTTCCCTCTCGATAATTGTCGAGATAGAAACTATCAAACTCACCTCGTACTTAACCATTCATGATATTCTCCATGTTCCCACTTTGTCTTGAAACTTATTTTTCATTAATAAAATTATTATTGACCATCAATGCCAAACTAAGTTATATTCTTCTTGTAGTGAGTTTTAGGAATTGACCACTCGTGACCACTGGAAAGATGACTGATAGTGTTAAGGAAAATGGTGGACTATTATTTTTACGATGGACTTGACTTGAATGGAGAATGTCACAATATTAGTTTAAATTTTTTTTTAATTTCCAAAGACAATGATATTATGTTATGATATTCTAGATTAGATTATCCTATTTCTCAATATTTAACTTACTATTTTCCCAATTTATTTCAGAATAAAAATTTATTTTTATTTCAATGTGAAGTTTATCAATTAGTTAAACACTATCATGCATAATTTTCTCCCTAAAATTACAAACCAACCATACTATTTATGTTGATTCATAACAATATATGGGGTCCTTATAAAAATCTTACATATTTTGAAAAAAAATCTTTGTAACTTTTATTAATAACAAAACTAGGATAAGTTGGTTTATTTAAATGAAATAGAAATCTGAAGTTGAAACAATTTGAAAAAGCTTTTACACGATGGTACAATCACAATTTAAAAAATTATTTAAATATTAAAAAGTTATAATGGTCAAAAATATTTTAATTCAATTTTTCTTTGAAAAAGGAATAGTTCATCAAAGCTTCTATGTCGATGCTCCACAATAAAATGATGTTGATAAAAGGAAAAAAACAAACACTTATTGGAAGTAACTCGGACTTTACTATTTATCAAACCATGTGTAATGTCAAAATATATGTGGGGGTGAAGTTGTTCTTACCATTATATTTCTCATAAATAAAATACTGAATAAGATTTTAAAATTTAAAACATCTTTTGATGTTTTTCTTAAAATTTACCCAATAAATCAATCATCTTCTTCTTTATCTCTAAAGATATTTGGGTGTATTGCGTTTGTTCGCATTCATAGTCATAATCAAAGAAAACTTGCCTTGAAAACAAAAAAAGTATGTTGGTTATGCTCCCAACCAAAAAGGATATTTGATCTTAATTCTAAAAAAATGTTTGTTATCATGGATGTCACATTTTTTTAATTACAACCTTTTTTTCACCTCATCTTCAAGAGGGGCAAAACAAAGTTTTACTACTGGTCTTCAAAATCTTTTTCAAATTGAAGACTCACAAAATAGTATCTCCCCAACCTTGATTGTTCAACCTGAAAAATCAAGCTATATTATATAAAGAGAAAGTGGGTCGAGTCCTTAGGCACTAAAGACAATACATGTCTCACCACAGTGCCAACTCATGATGTACATAATAGAGAAAAAACATAAAAAAGCACCATGACATTGGTACCATTTGATATTATCTACTCGCGGCAGAGGACAACTCAAAAGAAATTGTCTATGAATGCTTTGCACTGCGTAGAATCTGTGAACCCTCCAGGTAATGTCCTCACCGATCATTTAACCCATGTTCAATCAACTCCATCTTCGAATTCCGAGTCTTCTAGTCCTGAACATGAGCCTAACTCTAATCCCAAATCTAAAGAGACTAGTCTTCCCATGGTTGCTTGTAAAGAGGAAAGGTCTTGCACCTAACGTGCATTGTCCCATTATGTATCATCATATGAAAAACTCTTACCCATTTTTTGTGCTTTTAGCTCATAATTGTTATGTATCATCACTTCTTCTATGAATTCTATAAGAGCGCTTCTATCACTTAAAACTAGCCTTGACTAGCCTCTAAAACAGCTGGATATAGAAAATATGTTTCTCAATGGCGACTTAGAGGAATAAGTGCATATGGATACACCTCCAAGATGCACAAAGGAGTGTAAACTAAAAAAATCAATATACGAGTTAAAACGCTCCCCGAGAGCATAGTTTGAGAAATTCATACTATCTGTTAAAGATTAAGGGTGCACTCAAGGACAAGGAGATCATAGAATGTTCTTCAAACATGCAAAGGATAGGAAGGTAGCCATAATGATTATGTACGTGGGCGATATAATTCTCACCATAGATGTGAGAAGAACCATTTGAAGACTTCCATCTGTTTTTGAAATCAATGACTTAGGACCTCTAAAGTATTTCCTTAACAGAGAGGTTGCTAGATCTAAGAAAGGGTCGTTGTTTCCCAAAATAAGTATATTCTTGATCTTCTAAAGAAAACTAGACTAAGTGGATGTAAGCCTGCAAACACTCTAATTGATCTCAATCATATATTAGGAGATGAGAAAGAAGGCGACCTAGTGAATAATGTAAGGAATAAAAATTTGGTGGGAAAGTTGATATATTTATCACATAAACAACCATATATCGTCTGTTGTGATTTGGTAAGTCAATTTATGCATTTACCCTATGAGAAACATCTTGAAGCAATTAATAGGTTTCTCAAATACCTAATAGATAAACCATGCAATAATTTACTCTTTTAGAATACCACAAAATAGAACATAAAGACGTACATTGAGGAAGATTGGGCAGTCTTAGTCATTAACAGAAGATTAACTTATGGACATTGTACTTACATTTGGGAAAATCTAATTACATGGCTAAGTAAGAAACATAATGCAATTGTGAGTAGTGCCAAAGAAGAATATAGGCCTATGACTAATGAAATATATGAGATGTTACGGTTGACAAGAATTCTTGAAGGGCCGAGGACCACGAAAATATGCCAATGCAGTTGTATTGTGACAATAATGCAGTCATAAGCATTGCAAAAAATTCATTGTTGCATGATCACATAAAGCTTGTGGAGATTAACAGAAACTTCATAAAAGAGAAGATTGATTCAGGAGCTATTTGCATGTTGTTTATTTTTTAGTATCTTCCTTTTTTCAGTATTTCCTAGTTTTGGAATTCATTATGGTAGGAAAGTTGTAATTTTTGTTTTCTGATTTTAGCACGGATTTTGTGGCTTTGCTTAATTTAGTAATCTTTCCCCAATATATATCCGATAACGTGTCATATGGAATTGCAGAGGAATAATTATTTTTACTCTCCAAAATCTTACAAGTACTAATTTCACAAAAAGTTTGAGCAATTTAAAGAGCATGGATACAAACTTCAGTTAATGACTACTTCCCCCAAAAAAAAAACTATTTGTATTATTTTGGGCAATTTGCATACATACTACAGTTCATATGCATGTTTACATATATAACACCTAAAATTTTATTTTTACATTTATGACACCTTGGTATTAAAAACATTTATTTAACTTTTAAAAAGTTAATAAGTGGTGTTTTTGATGTGATGTCAAAGATTTGAGTGTTACGTATGTAAATATGAAACTTTAGATGATAGATATGCATATAAAAGAATTGTTGTATGTATGTAAATGCCCCTATTATTTATTATGTACTACAGAACTTCAACAATTAACAGCAAAAATTCATATCTTAAATAAAGATTTATATCCATACAAAATGATAAACAGTTTTCAAATTACTTTTTCAATTTCTATATATGAAAAAGGTTTTTGAGAGCTTACATTCATAAGCATGCACAAGCATTCAGATATGGCCAGTTCCTGAAAGTGTGGGGAATTGCTAAAGAGGAATGGAACCATAAAACACTTTCTCAGCTGGGCCAGTCATGTAAACGTGATTGTCTTCCTCCCTCCACTCAATCTCCAAAGGACCACCAGGCAAATCAACGGTGCAGATCTAAAGTTAGAAGAACATTAGGAACAGTTATCGAAGAAGCAATGCAAACGTATCTTAGAAAATAAATTAAGTAAGATCATGAATACTAAATATACCCTCTCAGCATGCCCCTCAAGAACTGCCGCAACAACGACTGCACAAGCTCCAGTTCCGCAAGCTAGCGTTGCTCCTACAATAAATCTAGGCTTGTAAGAATCAATATTCCAAAAAACATAAAATTGTCAGTACACATACTCTTAAGGCTCATTCAGTTGCGTGTAAATAAAAACACTGATTTTACTAACTCCTTTTTAAGGGTGAGAATGAAATCAATAACTTTCTTATGAAACATGGAGATGATTTGTGGAGTTTGAAAATATCGTTCGTTTCTTACTGCATCCAACCAAATAATTGAGGTAACAAATCCATTTTTCAAAACATAAGTTCTAACTTCAACCAACCAAATGACCTTTCACAAAGAGTTTGACATGATAATGAAAATGCTAAGATCCAAAACATATACTGATTCACAATCCATAACAGCTATAACCCATAAAATGAGAAAAAATCATCATAAACTAGATTTTCTCCCATAATATTGATTCTAAGAAAGCTAGCAAGCATGTTAACTATTTTTTGGGCATTTTTTTTAGTATTACTACTTACCAGCACCACGTTCCCATACCCTCGTCTTTAGGTGCGAACGAGAGAAAACTTGCACAAATTCTGCAAAGCAATCAAATGCTATTAGACAAAAATATAACAAGGAATGTTTCCTAAAGAGTTCATGAGAGCAAAGAAAATTAGTTTGCATACAGATGAAGAATTGAAAAAAAAATATTTATAAGTATATAATATCCATTGAAGCAAAAAATATCAAAGCACGTGAAAAGAATTCAATCATATTAAGCAGAAGCAAGATAACAATAGAGGAACCTAATACGGAAAAAATTTCATGTTTTAACAGGGAGAATAAAGATATATAAAAAATCTAAAGGAAAAAAAAAAGAAAAGAAACAAGGGTTCTAACGAAAATAAAAAATATAGTGCCCGCTGTTTAATTTGGCAAAAGTGACGAAACCAGTTTAGATCAGTTCTATGCTGCAGAACTACTTACCATAGTCCTGGTAATAAGAAAACCAATCATGAATGCGCTTGCTATCATAGTCAGTGCATAAGGTAATTGATCATGTTACTGACATGTGACGCTATGACAAGACTAAATGACACTAGAATCTCCCTTCATAGCACAAATGCCGCTAATACGTTGATTAAAAGCAATTTTTATGATGCAGCATCATGTACAAAAGCCTCACAACAGCTTCTTCAGAGGAAAAAACAGGAGATACAAACCACAGAACTTTGCTTATCCAATGGAAAAGCATGTAACAAATCATGAAGACAGTAATTGTGCAGCTTACATGAATCCACCTAAACTGACTTTTTACCTATGCAGCTAAGCAAATAATATAAATTTAATGGCATTAGCTGGATAAAAGCAGCTTATACTTACAAGTTGCACCACTAACCACAACCAAGTCAACAGAAACCCAACGAGAAAGCCTAAACCAGTAGTTTAGATACCAATGATCAGAATATCAACTCAAATTTTTAGCTAATCTTTAATTTGGGAACATTTTCAAATATGTAATATATTTCAAACCATTCAATTTGATGGAATTGGCATAACTTAAAATGCATACAAGCATCAGCTAATTTATATGCTTTACATGCTCCAACCTCGATAAAAGTCTATATCAAGCAAAATAACACTTGCCCATCTTGGCAAAGTTCAAAGCCTCTGATATTGGGCTAACCCAAACCATAATATGAAAAACAAATATTATTATTGAAAATCAATAGACGGTTACAACCAACACACATGAAAAGAAAAATACAACAATATGACACCTGAAAATTTGAAATAACAAGACACGACAAAAACAGGTGGTGGTTGTGATCGGCGAGGGTTTAAAGAGAAAGTAGCAAGGGGATAGGTGGGCTGGACAGCAAAAGAACAGCGGCTAAGGGTGGTTATGGGCTGCAGAAAAAATCATGGCAGTGCAGGTTGGAACAGCAGCTAGGTTGCAGGGATGCGGTTCAAGTGGCTGAAACAGCCGAACAGGAGGTGGGGAGGGAAAGGATGGCTGGACCGGGGCTAGATGGCAGGGGACAGCGGTAAAAACGGTTGCTGCACTGTTTTCTGGGGGTGGTAGCAAGGAGACAGCAAACTGGATGAAGGGGAAACAATGTAGGAAGGTGCAAGGAAGGATAGAAGAGAACAAATACCACCTTGGGAATGAGATACAGTTGGAGCACCACTCAACCCTTGGAGGAGAATCACCATCTTAGAAAGAGATACAGCAAGAGCACCACTCACCCTTGGATACAACCCTATAAGGGAGAAACCGGGATGTCGACGGCGGTCCTGAACAGAAACACGACAAAATTTCCTTCCAAACCCTATACAACACATGTATAGGAAATGACTAAAAAAGAAGGAAAAAAGAAAACATGCTGAAAATTAGAAAGAAATCAAAGGGAGGTCACTCGGTTCGATTCAAAGTCGTTAGCGTGACCCGCCTCCCTCGTCCAATTCATGGAAGTATCGCACGCACGAATGCAATCCCGCCTCTGCTTTGGATGTCCCATGTCGGTGTGGGAGAGATGCCCGCGTCAGTCTCCTGGAATTGGGGGAGGTTCGACCTCATCTGTCAAAAGCTTGTCTCCTTGAAATATAACTTCAAGTCGACCAAGTTGAAGGAGGCAAAAATGTCATAATCTCTCGGTAAGTCAATCTTGTAGACGTTGCAATTCCGAAGCACATCTTGATAGAATAATTATTCATTCTTTTTTGGCATAACTTGAGCTGGAGTTGCATATCGATATAGATTTTCATAAAATAACTCTCGAGTCATTAGATCTACAATTTGTCTCTTCTAATCCATATACTTGAGTAGATGTATCTGATAAATAAGTATGCAAGAAGAAATCAACTTTGGGATGAAATATATAGTAGACTGAGCAACTCTCACTAGCAACCACTTAGGAGAGGCCTTATCTTATCCGGTAAGACTTAGATCCCATTGTAGAATTTTCTTCCCCATCATGCTTCAAAGAAAATTTGAAGTTATAGTTCATCCTTCCTGCTTGATCATACGTCGGGGTACATTGTTGAACAGATTTTAACACCCAACTGACTCCATCAAGTCTTTAATATGTGGCACAAAAAAGCTCCATCTTTGACATACTGGACCACCCTCAGCAGAATCAACTCGAGACATGAGTTATATATCCAAAAATTCTAAAATCCTCTTATCTGAGATTGCCTTATGTCCGGTATCGGCTCCTCAAACTCATGACCCTTTTGAATATATAATGTCATTCCTACTAATACTCTTCTCAACATCTGCCAAAAAGAAGTTTGAGACACAACAACCTCATACTCTACCTGAATGCCCATTACCTAGTAGTCACTACCTTCTAAAACTGACATTGTCAACTCAATTGGAATATCACTTCTAAATTCAACTGGTATTGATGACATTTGTTCCTCGTTACCTAGAAGGTGATAATCCTCTATGAAGTCTCTATCTTCTCCCGGATCACCATTTATTTCTTTTATTGCTCCCTGACTAGTGAAAGAGATCATTCTCCTGGTTTTGCAATCTAATTCGTTCTGCCCAAACCCATGGAACTTCAAACATTTCCTGGCTGAGACTGATTTGGGAATGAGGACTGGTTTCACATGCTCTCCACTCTAAATCAATTTCTCCTCAAGCAGGGTCCACTTGGATGTTCCCCTAGATGTACTCTGGCTATAAGATCCTAGGGTTGAACTCTACCTATAAAATGTGTTGGTCGCTCGATGATGCGGTCTCTCCACTTTTAAAGTTGGGGTCTCAAAATCTGATCTATAGTGAGCTCGTAGGTATTCGCTCTTCATTTCTTGTTTCAACTTGGACCAGATAGCAATCTTATCTTTTCCCTCACATTGGCGTAAGTGCTTCAAACTTTCTCACCTAAATAATGCACTCTTCTTTACCTTATTAGCGACTAATTTTACTATTATATATGATGGAACTTCCTGGCATTAAGAAAAATTCCCGTCTGAAGCCACTCAATGATCTTGTGTGAATCCAAGTGACCATCATAATGTGGCAAATCCACTGTACTTAAAAATTTTGGCTTCTCAGATATTTCAGATCAAATTTTCGGGGTAGAGGTTCATCAACTCTGGAATCTGTATTTTAGAAGAGATTCATTTCATTCCTTCAATCTAGCAAGTCACCATTGTAGCTAATGGTGACCATCCCAGATTGCCTTCTCTGGAAGGCAGCAAACCTCAGTTGCAGTGGAAGCACTTTCTGACGCACATCTTCCATAGAAGGTTCCCATTGGTAGGTTTGAGTATGCTAGAAATTCTATAATAGGACTAGAGTTGGGCTAGCTATTGAAGTTAACGCAAACCACAATAAGAAAAACAAATATTATTACTGAAAGCCAATAGATGGTCACGACCAACACACTTGAAAAGAAAAACACAACAACACGACACACAAAAATCTGGGCAAGAAGATAGTGGCCTACACATAAATTTGGGTGGGTTGATTGCATGAATTTCACAAAAGTACTTGTCAAATAACAATTATGAATGGGTTAAAATTAAGGATTATTGAAAACAAGATTTTCCATAACTAGTAAGAATTTTACAACACTCAAGATTGATTCATAATGTCAATAGAAGGTAGTGCTAAATAAGAAATTTTTGAAAAAGAAGTCCCATGTTAGCTTAACAGCTAATTATTGGGCGTCTACGCAAAAGTTTTCTCACTTATGCCTCATAGCAATTTTTAATAGAAAAGAATGGAAACTTCATAAAAGGATCCTTTAACATCTGTGATATCACAAATCGCAAGGGTGAAAGTATTAAAAAAATAACTGAAATCATGCATTTTGAATTGGGGAAATAGATAAGACTTTAAACTCACAAATGCAAGTTCAAATGCAGTTGTTTTTTATCACTTAAGATAAAATTGAATGAAAAGGCATTTCTAACTTTGAATAGTGCAATATATTTCTTAGGAATTGTGCTTAGTATTTAAATTTAAATGTGAAAGAAAAATGAGAAGAATTAAAGTGTAAACAAGAATTCATGTCGTGAGAAAATAATGGAAGTATTGTAAGCAATTTAATGATATACATTAAACATTCAACTCTTCTAGAACAACAAATAAAAATAGAAAAACCTATAGTCCTGATCTTTATATGAGACAATACACGTTATTTTCTTAAAAAAAAATAGATGGATCATTTTTTTTCAAGTGAAATAGAATTTAATGAATATTTAAAAAATGTTTGGCGGAATAGCTTGGCAAACTCATGGAAAGCAGCTGGATCATGTGGCGGCAATCATAGGTGCAAGCTGTAGATTCACATTCCTTATTCCCATACTGCATGTAGAAAAGCTTGGTTAGTACTTGTGTATTTTGCCCTAATATAAATGTCAAGCAATCACCACATAATTAATTTTTTCCAACAACAACAATAAGCCTTTATCCCACTAAGTTGGGTCAGCTAAATGAATCCATTTTATCCATTGTGTTCTATTGAGTGTCATATTTTCATTTAAATCTAATAAATTAATATCATTTTCCATACAAAATGCCAAGGGCTTTTTAAGTCTACCTCTACCTTTCTTAACATAGGTCGAATTTAAAACATCT